GCATGCCACCATGCTGGCTAGTTTTTTATTTTTTGTAGAGATAGGGTCTCACTATGTTGCTCACGCTAGTCTCAAACTCCTGGCCTTAAGTGATCCTCCCGCTTCAGCCTCCTAAAGTGCTGGGACTATAAGTGTGAGCCACTGTGCCCATTCTTGATTTTTAATAGTCCTAAAGAAAAGCTTATTGTTGACCTTCAACTTGATAAACAGATGCCAAAATATTTTTTATATAATTTATATAACGAAACTCTGATTTCTAAAAGTTAGGCCCTTGGATTTTTTTAGTAAGCTTAGAAAACAAATGTAAAATATCCTCCCCACTAATTTTTAAAAACTAACAGCTTATACTGTCAAGACACAAAACTGGCAACCTTGATACAGTAATTAATGATAGTACATTCCCTTGGTTGCCACCCTCAAAGAATTCTAATTAAGCTCTATGATGAAGTAGTAAAACATTTTCATTATGATAGTTTTATTTATAAATAGAGAGTATCAAAGCAACCTAAGATTAACTAGTCACATCTGTTTTTGATTCAAATACACTGAGTATAAGCTTTAGGCAAGAAAAAGATCTCCAGACCTTGTGTGGGTTGTTTTGGGTTTGGAGGGACTGTATTTTGTTTTTTGCGTTTTTTTGTTTTTCTGTTTTTGTTTTTTTGATTTTTTTTTTGCAGAGGAGGTAGGTGGTGTGCTTAATATATAAAATATCCTCATCCACCAAAGGTACATGTACACATACAAAGCTGATTTAGAATTTAATTTAGAATTCAAGTCTTGCAGCTTCAACCAGACTATGTGGTCCTTTGCACCTGTTCATCAGAAATAACTCAAAATAGCTAAGTAATGTTTGAAAAACTCATTATTTGATACTAAAATGTATCAAAAACATACTAAATCACTAAATTGTTTTGGGTGTTGTTCCATCCTCTTACAGTTAAAAGATAACATTTTGATCAGTAAATGCAATGCCTGCAGTTCAAATATATGTTTAGGTATTTAAAATAAATAAAATTGAGTTGAATTAGGCTGTTTTCTACATTAACATGAAATTTTATTAAGGAACACACATAAAAGAACACTGAATATATTTATATATGATTAAAAATTTTTTTAACCTTTAAAAAAAAAAAGCCTAACCAGAAATAAGAGTATCAATCCACTACCCTTTTTAAAGGGTATGTTTTTCCCCAGGTCAATTTTCAAACTCCTAGAGACTCATGTTTTTACCTCACTTTTTTCTAAGGGGGAGCAGGGGAAAAAGGCTGGGGCAGAAATTAGCGTGGGATTGCAGAGAAGTAGGTAGGACTTTCTACTAAACGCCAAATTGAAATGACTATTAGAAAGAGCCAAACTCTTATATAAACTATTTTTAGAAGTTAAAGATTTAAAAAAAAAAACAAAAAAAAAACCCAAAGAAATTCTACATAAAATCGACAGTCAATGGTATAAAGAGTATTTAAGAAATGTTCTTACCTAGGCACTCTTGGATCATGCCATGTGCTCACACCAGTCTGAGTATGTAAGAAATACACCTGACCTTGTTGCGTTGTCCTCTGTTCTGTAAAATTAATCGACACTAATAAAAAAAACATATTCAGAATGTACGGATAAAGACAGCTATATATTAAGATGATATACTAATAGGGAAACATCTCCAAAGTACCAACCTATTTCATTAGAAAAATGGCTTTACAAACCATTTGTTCTGTCCCTTGGAAACAATCTCATAAACTGGTGGTGAGGGTCAGAGGCCAGCTATATAAAAGCTAACTCGACTCATAATATGACTCAAATACTAAACATGTTGCAATGGAAAATAGAAAACAAGATTGTTACAATATCAATAATTAAACAAAAGATAAAGAAATGATCTTTTATATGAGTTAAATGTGGAGACTAAGAAGAACAAAGGCTCAGGGTAAGAGGCTAGCCGACTTTGGCAAGACTGGGGGTTGCTTTCGGAAACTTTCAAAGAGTCTGGAGACTGATAATCCTTTTTTTTTAATGCCTAATTTTAAACCAAAACTTATGTTCTCTCTTTTCTGGACGGAAGTGTATTCTCAAGACTACATTGTGGGCTTACAGAGCCCAAAAACAGACAACATACAGGAGAGAAATTCTACAGTCATAAATAGGAAAAGATGGAAAAATGACAAAGTTAGAAAGAGGACTGAAGAGTAAGTGTGCCCACTGGGGAGAAAAAAAGTCAACAGTGAACTGAACTCAAAGCTCTTGGGAAGAGAGTAGGGAAGCCAGGGTGAAGAGAAAATCTATAAAAAG